CTTTAATGGGGTGATAATAAATAATGTGAGTGCATACATGTGCAAACTCACCTAATTGTATACATTAATTATGTGCAGTTTTTGTATACCAATTATGCCCCAATAAAGCTGGGAAAAAGGGATTGAAATGGCAACTCACAAAGAGGAAGACTTAAATACAATTTACAACACATTTACTCTATGGAGAACTTATATTCAGAATACTGTATCCAAAGAACTCCTGTAAATCAATGCCAACCAATTAGAAAAATGGGCAAAAGACTTAAGCACCTCACAAAAGAGAATCCAATTAGCTACTAAGTGTATAGAAAGAGCTCACTGTCATTATTAAATAATACAAATCTAACCATGGTGTCAAGTACTGGTGTGCATGTAGAACTACTAGTACTCTTTCATATGTAGCTGGTCAGAATTTGAATTAGTATAATACTTTAGAGGTGATTTGACAATCTATGCTAAAAGTAAGTATACACAATTATATGACCTAGCAGTTTCATTCTTAGGTATATAGCCAACATAAATGTGCATCTGTGCAATAAAAGACATATATAAGAACACTCGTAGCAGCATTATTTGTCATTACCCCAGACTGGGAGCTATCCAACTGCCCAACAGTAATAGAAAGGACAAATAAACCATGGTATATTCATATAAGGTAATAGTTCATAGTAATTTAAAAATAATTATCTATTGCTATACTAGAAAATGGAAGATATAATGTTCAATTAGTACATATACAAAAGCACAATTGTACTTTTATGATTTTGCTTACATACTATAAGAAGAAAAACGTCTGAACTAATTTATGGTAAATAAAAGTTGTGAAAGTAATTACCTCTGGGGAGGGGATAGTGTGCCGTGATTGAGGGAGACATGAGGGCAGTTTCTGATGTGCTGGCAATTTTTTGATCTCTGTAGTGAATACATGGGTGTATTCACTTTGAGAAAAATTCATTGCACCATACATTTGGCATTTGTCCATTTCTGTATATATTTTCTTGTGTTATTTATTTGATAATTTCATTTTTATTTTCTCATTTTCTGTAACTCCTATTAATTGGATATTAGATTTTATTTGTATTTTTATCTTTTATTTCTTATTTTTTATTTTGGGCAGACTAAATAATTTTATTTTCAAAATGGTTTATTGAATAATTTAGAGCATGTTATTTAAGTTTTAAGAGCTCTTTTTTTGGCCTCAGTATAGTATCCCCTTTTCATAGTACATCTGCTCTTCTTTCATAGATGCAGTATCTTTTCTTATCTGGGGATATTATAGTTGCTTACTAGTTTGCTTTCTTCTGCTTGCTCTATCAACTTTCTTTCAAGTTACTTTTTCTGTTTTTCCCCATCACCCAAGGACATTTTTTTCATTGCTTATACAGAGAGGAAGGGAGAGATAGAAACAATGATGTGAGTGAGAAGAATCAATTTGTTGTCTCTGGTTTGGGAAGATCACACACCCCCAGACTGGAACAGGTATTGTATGCACAGGGACCAGCTCCCTAACTGCAACCTAGGTATGTGCCCAACCAGGAATTGAAACTGCAACTTTTCAGTAATGGGATGATGTCCACCTAACTGAGCCACATTGGCAAGGGCTGTTTTTGTTTTGTTTTGGTGGTTGACGAAAGAATTATATATTTTTAGAGCCTTTTCTTAAACTTTTGGTTATTCTTGGCTCTCAAAAATTTATATTTAAAAGTGAGGCAATTAATTAAACATTGACTGGATTGGTTATTGACTGGTGGATTTTATTGTGGAGTCTTGCTGTTTTATTGCAAGACCCCTAAATGTCAGTCTCTGTGAGTATTGTTCTTAAGTTCTTCCATTTCACTAGAGAGAGGAAAGGCACTGGTGTAATTTTACTCTACATTTGAGCATATTTTTCATTTAGATCTGTTGGCTCTCTGCCCTTTGTCCTAAGGGCCAGTTCCTTTTGGTTTTGGGGAACATTGGTCATCTTGGTAATAGGATTAAAGGGAAGACCTATATAGTCTATGGAAATATTTCTTACTCTCAGTTGATTTATTCAGTAAATGTAAAACTGACCCTTGGGATAATGTTCTTCTTTTCTGCTGTGGCCCCTCTCCTGTTAGGAAATCAATGAAATGAAACATGATTTGGTTATGGGGTCTCTTCAGCTTCCTTCTCTTCCCTTTATGCCAACTTAAACAAATTTTACTGCGTAAAATATAAAAATGTAATTCATACACAAAAAGTTGACAGAATTTTATAATGGTTTTTTCTGTCCCCATCTTCCAGGCTCAGCAATGATCAACTCAGGACAATTTTATCTCTGCTCTCTCCTACAGCTCTACCTTTTTACTTTGAAATGAATCTTAAACACATTATCAATTTCATCTATAATTTTTGGCATATATCTCTAAATAATAACCTTTAAAAACATAACAATATATGCATTACACTTAAATATTAACAGAACAATTCTTAATATCATTAAATAACCCCAGTCTTCAATTTTCTAATTGTCTCATATAAGTCATAAATGTGTTTTTGGCTATTTGCTTGAATCAGGAGCTAATTAACTAACTTCCATAAGCAGTGATGAATTGACTTAGAGTCCCTTATCATTGACAGGCTTCCCTTCCATCTCTTTTTTGTTTGGTTGAGAAAACAAATCACTTGTCTTGTGTAGTTTCCTAAAGCTCATAGCTAAATTTAATGGCTCTGTTGAGTCATTAAATCTTTTAGATATTTAAAATTCTGCCATTGAACTGGTGACTCCTTGAAGGATAATTCTTTATTTATTATAGTGCAGTTTTTGGCACATAATAGATGTTCAAGAAAGTGTCTACTGAATAGATATTAAATTAAAAAGATGTCAAAGGACATTGGGGAAGAGAATACTTGAAGCTTATGTTCAAATGATAGATTGCAGAGAGTAATCAACCATAATATTCTTCACCAAGCAGTGTGATCACTTTAAGCTAGGTCACCCATGCTCTTTCTTTGTATCTGTATTTTTCCAGTTTTGGTTGCACTTGCTTATATTGTTGGAGGTAGGGAGTCTGGACTTGAATTGAGAGATCAACAAAAAGGAGGGAGCCATGTTAAAGAGACTCTTGCTCTTCAAATTAATATCATGTAATTCTTTAATTATGATTGTAACACTATTTATATAATGCTTGTGATATACCAAACTATCTATGACTAAAATCATGCTTACATTTTTGAAATGCATATATGTTTGTTGTAAACATATTATAATAAACTTATTATAGTATGGTGTTTTCTATAATTCAGAGATGTGACTCTCTAGTGTGAAATGTAACACATATATATGTATATGGTACATTTTCTCATATATATATGTATATATATAGGAAAATTTCACTGTCTTAAAATGATTTGCCTTGCAACATAATGCCCATGAGTTATATATTGAAAAGCAGATAAAGGTTTGTAATCAAGATGGAACATTTGTGACTATCACCACCATCATTCCTTCTACCATTTGCACTGTGCATGCAATGGGGTTGATTACTCTCTCCAATCTGTGAACTCTATTAATTATGCATTGCATAACTCTGTGAAACTCAGAGGTTAAATGCCCTCTAGCTAGTAAATTGTACACTCAGGTCTTTGAAGGAATCTGCTATTTAAAGTATTAATTTAGATGCCTTATCTCCATTAACTATCTTTCTCAAATAGAAAATATTCCAGAATCCTATCTTAAGCTATGATTTAACTTTCTCTCCTTTGTATCCTTTCTTTTTTAATTATCTTCCTTCCTTACTTTCTGTTTTACTCTGTTTATCTGTGCTAACCTCAATGTTAAACAAAAATCACATCAAAATACAACTCTGTTCAAGTTCCCAATCATCATCTTTTTTTATATATTAAAAAAATTTCCTGTCATCTCTCTTTACTCTGTGATGTGTGTGTGTGTCTGACTTGCATGGGCATGAAGACCAGAAGGAGAGGGGATGATGTTTAATGCAAAATAAAATCCATTACATGTTTCTCATTCTGTAATGGTATCCCTTTTGGTATTTGCTGAAGATTTCTCCTGGTGTGTTTTATGAAGGCATTCCAGCACAGGATATGAGAGCACATCTAATGTGCATTACCTCTCATTTGCCTTTTCCTGTACAAATCACATAGATCAACATACACAGTGAGTGAGTGAGTGATAAAAAAGCTCCCTGGAGACAAAGTGAAGTTATTTCAATGTACTTTTCATTAAAGCATGGACAAAGTCTTGTGTACAGCTACAGGTCGATATTTTCAAAAGCATACTCTAAGAGAATGAAAAATGTTTATGTTAAACAATTTTTTTTCAAATATAAACTCCATTACTTACTAAAAAAAGTGGAACATAAATATAAAAAAATTTTATCGTAGTTTCTTTTTAAATATTTTGGTATAATCCTCCTCCCCAGTTGGGTTATTTTTTGTTTTTCTTGTAAGCAGTTTTTACAGTTTCTACCATATCTCTTTTTAAGGTAAAATAATTTATGCATAAAGTTCGATCAGTTAATAAGTTGGATTTCAGAAATGCTCCAAAGGGGAAACCAAGAGCCATACTGGTCTTTACAGGAAACCCAGTCATAATATTAATTGACCTCTTTGTCCAACCTCGTTGTGACAGGAATGAGAACAGATGAATTCTTCAATGGGGATGGGAGCTTCCCCTGTTGTAAGGGCAGTGTTCAGATCAGTTATTAAATATGTACATGTGTGGTGTTCACTATGTCTTCCACAGCTGCTTGTGGCATCTTTCTTCATTGACAAGGGCTGCAAAGGCTGCAAAAAATACGTCTCAGAATCAAAGAGTGGGGAGACGCCATTTACAAAGCCGGAAATGATTAAAATCTCAGGACTGTGACCATTCCCAGTCACCAAAGGCTTGCCAATAGCACAGTTCCTGTTTCTGGTGTCTACTCTGAAGACCAAGACCATAGAGTGGATGCTTGTCCACTATTCCATTGGAAGTTGGATCTCTCCAGCTACTGGCGAGCAAAGAGGGAGAGTGAGTCCCTGCCGGGGCGGGTACCAGGCAACCGCGTCAAATTGAGAGGTCAGCGGTCAGCCCAACTCAATGGCCTAGGCTCGCCAGGACAGGCGCGGGCCCTGCCGGCCTCCGTCCTCTTCCGCTTGCTCCAGGTGCACAGCGGATCCCTCCGCCACAGCGAGCGCTCACGGTAGAGCGGCGATCGGCTTTTCGTCAATACCCGGATGGAAGTGTAATGGCCGCCGTCAGGGACTTACAGGCAATGGGGACCACGACAGGTATTCCCTGTGAGAGGGGCTGTCCAGACTTGTTAGGATGCCTGTACTTCTAGAGGGCCAGCTAGGGGGCAAAGGGCGAGTTTGTGGGGCGTCAGGGTTCCCCCCCGAATTGGCTCAGGGATCCGCCTCTTGAGCTAGGAAGCTTCTGTTAAATAGTCCCGGCCATTCAGTGCTTTCGCCTAACTTGCTGCAAAGTTTTTCTAGGTAAGTCGGTCTTCTCAGTGTGGTCCCTTGCAGGTTGCTAGAGCTAACCCTAGCCATACTTGTTTTACGTTTGGGCTTTTTCAACTCTTCCCTGACCCACAGCCTGGGAGCTGGAGCGGGAGTGTGGCTATGGTGTGCCTCCGCGCGCCTGAGGGGCAGCAGAACCCCGGAGGAAGGGGCGGATCGGGCGCGGTGTTTGGGACTGAGAGGGGAGCACGGCGCTCGAAGCATCCACTCGGCGGGTCCCAGGCTTGATGGAGGCGGCACGGCCACCCCTCAGACCGCGCCCCTCGAGCTGTAGGTTCCCAGTTCTACGGCACCCCAACTCGACGGCGTCCCCAATGTGGGTCCAGTCTGTGGTCTTGGAGGTCTTTTCTTGCAGAAATGCTCAGTTCTCTGGCGCGCGTTCCTTCCTTGCAATTGTTCAAAGGCGCTCTTCCCTGCAAACCTCAACCACACCCCGTGGCAGATGGATTTCTTTGTAACTGGCTTTCTCACTTGTAGGGTCCATTTTGAGTCTCTTCTTAACATGGTGTCCTCATTGTCAAGTAGTCTTCCTAGATAGCCATGGTCATTGAAAATATATAGGGTGAATGTGTATGAGGTAAAATGTGTAACTCTTAAGTAGACCAACGAAACAGATATGGTAGCTTTGAGATTCAAAATGCTAAAGTTAAAGATTCAGTTTCTTTATAGGTTTACATTTGGAGGCGTCTAGTGTTTGTGAGGTGTGGTAGCGAAAACATTAGTTGGGTGTGTTTGGTTATCAAAAGTTTAAAAATTCCTAAAAAAAATAAAACCAGTGTTTAAGGAATTCTTAAGAATGTTGGAGTTATTATGATTGCCACATGATGAAACATGAAGACAACAAACTACATTAGGGTAGGAATTTCATGCACTCGAATAGCTGTGTGTTAGGCCTACTTTAAATTGTTGAATTGGTTTTTATGCAGCAAGAGATGACTTGAGTGTACTATGAAGTTAATATCCTCGGGTTGAATAGGTAGAAACCACTAAAATTGAATGAAATATGTTAACATTTTTCAGAGTTTAATTGATAATACAAGTGGGTTCTTCCGAAACTCTTAAAGACGTTGCATTTGTTAACATTTTTAGGATGTTGGTATTTCGTAGGGTGGGTAGATAGTAGACCGTGCTAATTTTTGTTAAAATTCTCATAAGTTACAGCCCCTTACCCAGAAAATTGTTAAAAGCAGAAGGCGGTGTAAAATAGAGGTATCTAACAACCTGTTTTGCACATTCACATTTTTTCTGTTGTTGCCATCAGAGTGAATATAAATACCAGTTCAAAGCACTTTGTATCTGGTTTTATGGAAGAATTAAAGGACAGCAACAACAAGAATACGTGCTGTGTACATTGATAACAGATGAGCGTTTTCACTGCTCAAGGTTTTAATCATTATTACACTTCAGATCCGGTGTTTTCTGGTAATAATATACTGTGATCCCAAAAGTTTTTATATCTTGAAACATACCAGAGAGATTATATTTTAGTGTAAATATATAGTTTGTCTTTAATATATATTTTATACATGCCCTTTAATGTACTTTATTGCTTATTTTTCTGTTTGGAATTGTTATTGAAAAGTGTGCTTTAGATCACTTAATACATTTTTATAAATGATAAAAGACTTGAATCTTGCCCAGTTTCTTTTAGGTTATTCTACTGAAAGTTTTTTTACAGAGCACAGTACACAGAAGAAAAAAGGGATAATAAAGTTGAAATTTTTATTATCTGATCCAAGGTGTAAAGGCTATGAGTATTTCACTTATGTATGGGGTATTGGCTTCATGTGGTGAGCAATTTTCATGGGATGTTAGATACCAGAAATGAGTATTAAGAGGGTAGGATACCCTCCATTGTGGAAGATACCATTGTAGTAGGATAGAGTTAGATCCAGTTTCTAACCCATTGTGGCTGGGTTAGAATTAGATCCAGTTTCTAGTTCTAGCTTTGTGAATTTGGGCAAGACTCATTTTCCCTGTCTTGTGATAAATGAAATTGAATTAAGTTTGTTCTAAGTTCCCTTCTGAGCTTTGAGTTTTCTGACCTTTGTAAACTCACGACTTTGTCACTGGGTATCAATGATAGGTTATTTGCCTAAGTGCAGAGAAGTTTTTTTCCTTCTAAATTTATACACATAAGTTTAATATGAAGCATAACTGAATTGAGAGTATAAAAATATTGTACTAGTAGTTTTTACAGTCAGAGTTTTAAAATCTTGGTCTTCATTTCCAGATACCATCTCTTTTGATCACTGTTCCTGATTGAGGCTTTGTGCAAGCATTAAATTGTGTGCCTTTTGTTCCTTGAAAAAAGAGGTATGGTAAAGATTGAAGTACTATTTTATATAGTCTATTAAGTAGTAAGTTAGTATGTTCTAACCTTGGACAAAATAAAATAGTTATGTATATGTGAGTTTTCATAAATTGTCGTTTTATTTTAGCTTAAAATAAAATGCATATAGATTTTCATTACAATATAAGTAGAAAAGTAGGTTTTGGTTCTATTGTTTATTGTTTAACATTTCATTAGAGCTCTAAAGATGATTTTAACTACATTATCCTTCTAAATACTAAGATGACATTAAGGGCTTTTGGGTAATAAACAATGGAGATAAATATAGTAGGAAGACGTTTTGAAGCTATATGAATGGCCAGAGGAATGTTTGTGTTTTTCTGTAGTAAGGGCAAAGTAATGCACCTGAAGAAAAATTTTCTAGTGTGATTAATGACATCTATATTGTGCAGAGGGACTTGGGAATCACTATAGGTTTATGACTGATTTCCTGAAGACAATCATCTGTATATCTCAGTGTGGACAAAAGGAAGGGGGAAAAATCAGCCAACAAATACATGGTATTCTGAGGAGAGCTTTGCAAACTCAGTGGAAAATATTGTACCCTTGTTTAAAAAAAAAGGAAAAAAAGACCTGAAACACAAGTGTTTTTAAACACAAGTCTCTTGCTTCTTGATGTTTGTTCCTGTGATACCACAACATCATAATTTTCCTTACCAAGTGAAATAAATATCCACAGAAGTATAACCCTAGATTAGGGCTGAAAATATGTACATAACTACTGAAAATAGCCAAAATAGACAATACCAATTTAAATTACTACTTTAGTTCCATGAACTTTACTAGTAGATGGCTTTTTTTCAGAGGCATTTCCACAAAGGCATGCATTTTTAATTTTATTAGAAGTTGATGTCTAACAACTACCATGTGTAGAAAGCAACAAAGCTGAATTGAGATACCAGGTTTCCATTTATATTCATCTGCCTGCATAATTTCTTCCTATGTGATGTTTGTTTGATCTCTTACTTCATGCGATTCATATCAGTACTGTGTTCATCTGGAATAGAGAAAGTAAATGCTGAGTGCTAAGAATTTTCTTTTTTTTTCTAAGATTTTATTTTTTTATTTTTTAGAGCTGGGAAGGGAGAAAGAGAGAGAGAAATATCACTAAGTTGTTGCCTCTCACAAGCCCCCTACTGGGGACCTGATCTGCAACCCAGGCATGCGCCCTGACTGGGAATCAAACTGGCAACCCTTTGATTCGCAGACTGGCACTCAATCCACTGAGCCACATCAGTCGGGACAGAATTTTCTTTATTGTGTTTGATCTAAACTATTCAAAAAGTAATATGTTGAAGAATGAAAACTTCAAATACAATGGACTAAACAAGAGGCTGTTCTGTGATGACTGACCAGAATGATTTGGATTATTCTATCTTAAAAGCTGAGCAAAGTTTGACTAAAAATTTAACGTTGTAATAGGTATGACTTCATGAAACAAGTGTCCCAATATTAGAATAAAGGTGCATGACTTGAAGCTTGAGAAAATTAGGTGGGCTTCAGATAGGTCTCATTTCAAGAAGTGGAAATAGCAATAGCTGAAAACAAATACTGGCTTTTAGAAAAAGGCAAATTATTTAGCTGTCTGTCTGTCTGTCTTTCCTCACCTGAGGACATACTCAGTGACTTTAGAGAGAGGGGAAGGGAAGGAGAGAGGGGGAAGAGAAACACTGATCTGTTACCTCTTGCATGCACCCTGACTGGGGACTGAATCTGCAACCTGGGCCTGTGTCCTGATGAGGAATCAAACTCATTACCTTGCAGGTCACAGGACAATGCTCCAACCAACTGATCTATACCTACCAGGGTAAAAGGTCATATAATTTTATTTTTATTATTTTTTAAAATTTAATTGTTCAAGTACGGTCTTCTGCCTTTTATTCCCATCCAATCCCAGCCCACCCACCCAGCCCTCCCCATTAATTTTAAAATGTAGTAAAATCATTACCAGTTAAAATCGGGTTTTGGAGGTTGTGTCTGGTAGAAAATCTATCTATCTATAATTTTTCTTCCTTCAGTATATGTTCATTTTGGGGAACCATCCCTTTGTGTTGTAAGTAGTTGGTGGGCTATCAGTCTTATAGTTTTATAACCCAGGCCTAGTCATCCCTTTTGCCACAGTGATTGCCCGTTACTCAAGCAGACACAATTGGAATCCTTTCAAATTGGTGTGTAAATGCAGGAAGAAAAATGCTCCCTTCTTTCTAAAGTTAATTTGGGAGGGTGCTAGTGACATTGTTTCTCACATGAAGGAGAACCTCATCTGAAGTAGGAAAAAGTAAAGCCATATAGAAATGAGAGATGGATAGAGATAGAGTTTCAGTTTCAGTCAGGGCCTACGGTATGAGATATCAGTGTCTACCTTTTAATTTTGCCTCTTACCCTGGTGTCCTTCATAGTCCTTTGGGCCAAAATTCTGTATATAAAGTAGTTTGAATTTGATTACAGCAGAACGAATTTAAGACCTATAGCTTCAACTTAATCCATCAACAATGTGCCCTTTTCCTCTGCCTTATAAAAGATGCCCTTTATTCATTCATCATTCATGCATGCATGTAGTGCTTCGTTCCACCTTACATTTATTATCTACCATGTACAAGTATGTGCAACTGCCTAGTTAGTCACAGATTATGCATACTAGGCTGAGTGGATGGTGGACTTTCTCTAATATAATCCTGTTTTTGTACACTTAAGTTACATCAATAATAGGCATGTTTTGAGAATAATCAGTGCTGTGCTTAGCATTTTAGTAATATGTGAGAATAAGAGTTCTTGACATTCAAAGTGCTTATAGTTTAATTAAGGTATCCAAATCGATGTATGTGAAATGCAGCATAAACAGCTAAAACAGATAAGTAAATGCATACTTGTATTGTATGGATTTTAAGTCCAAGTTCTGATAAGAAGGAAATTAGTTAGGGCTGGCCTAATCTAGGAAGGTTTCTTAAGGTGTAACTTCAAATGGATTTTGACTTAACGAGGCAGGTTTCGATAGGCACAGAGAATGTGCCTTTATCCTTTTGATAAAGGATAGAGTTGAAAATGACTAAGTCCAGCGGTCAATTCTTAGTCTTCATCTTACTTGACAGGGTTGATCAATCCCTGACCCTGGGAACCCTTCCTTCACTTTGCTTTCAGGATACCAATTTCCTGATTCACCTTCAGTCTCACTGGTCATTCCTTTCAGTTTTGCTAGCTGGGTCTTTCTCATATATTCCCTCTAAATGTTACAATACAGGCTCAAGCCTTAGACTTTACCCTTTGGGTCGTTTAATTCTTCATACTAAATACATACACACAAAAATGTACACACATAACTGACTCCCAAAATTTTACACCCAGACCTCTGTATTTTGTATTGTGCTGCACATTCTACATTTCCACTTCATTGTCAACTAGATATCCCAAATCCTGTGTGGCTAAACTCAACTCTTGATATACTTGCCAAACCAACTATTCCTACACAGGCTTTTCTAGCTTAATGGTAAATGGCAACTTATTTATTCCAGTTGTTGAGGTCAGAACTTTTAGAAATATCCTTGACATGTTTCTTTCTCTAATATGCCAAATTTTAGGCTGTCAGAAAATCTCATGGTCTGTATCTTCAAAATATATACATTGTCTGACCATGCCTCATTGTCTCCACTAAGACACCATCATCTCTTCTTACCTGTGTAATTGCAGTGTAGTAATCTCCAAACTAGCCTCTTTCCTTCCACTCTTACCTTCCTTCCCCAAACTCTGTTCTTAACATAGCCAGAGTGATCTCTTTAAAAATATAATTCAGCTCATGTTAATTCTCTACCCAAAATGCTTGAGGAGATTCCCATCTTGTTTATAGTAAAACCAAAGTTTTTATAGTGTCCAGCAAACCTTATTTCAGTCCCTATGTTACTTTGACTTCATGTATTATTTTCCCTGCAGTGCTTTCTGTTCCAGTCATACTGAACTTGCAACCCTTCGAACATGTTAGGTACAGTCTACACTCAGGCTGTTAGCATTTATTATTTCTTTTCTTAGGATGATCTCCTTCAGTTGTTCAAGATCTTGACTCAAATACAACCTTTTCAAGTGAGGTCTCCCTGACTTAATACTTAAAAGTGCAACTTTCTGATTCCGACTATTTTTCCCTGCATTCTATTTTTCCGCACCATGGGTCACTTTTGAATATATTATATAATTTACTTAGTTTATTATTTAAGTAACCAGTAAAATATTGGCTTCAGGAGAGAAGGGATTTTTATCTGCTTTGTTCACTGCTGTGTTCCCAGTGCTTAGAACAAAGATTGACACAGATTTGCTGCTAGCTGCAAACCTGCTACTAGGCTAGGTGCTAGGGACCCAGCAAAGAATGCAACAGATGTGGTCCTTATACATATTCAGCTTTTATTTCTGAGGTAGAGACAGATAGAAAATAAATTGGCAAATAAAATATTGCCAGAGCCCTGGCTGGTGTGGCTTAGTGGATTGAGCGCAGGCTGTGAACTAAATGGTTGCCAGTTCTGTTCCCAGTCAGGGCACATGCCTGGGTTGCAGGCCAGGTCCCTAGTGGGGGCCATGTGAGAAGCAACCACACACTGATGTTTCTCTCCCTCTCTTTCTCCCTCCTTTCCCCTCTCTCCAAAAGTAAGTAAATAAAATCTCTAAAAAAAAAGATTATTTCACAAAAAATTTTTTAAAAAATTTGCCAAAGAAAGAAATATCACAAAAAAAGAAATACAAGGGACTAAAATAGAGAACAGTTTTTTATGTTTGAGGAAGGGCTGGTTTACAGGTTGGAGAAAGCCTTTGTGAGGTGCTAACATTTAGGCTGAGACCTGAAAGATGAAAAGGATTTAGCTTTATGAAGAATATTTCAAGCAGGGAACAGCAGGTGCAAACGCCTGAGATAGTGAGTATTTGAGGAACTGAGAGACTATTTTTGGTAGCTTTCTGGAGTATATTTACAGGTGGGGAGAGTGGT